AATAAAATAAAAATTATAAAAATTACTTAATTACATTATTGTCCTTATTAAATTATTTATATATAATAAAAGTTAATTTATTAATTAAAAAAGTTTGAGATTATTGGGTTGTTCTCACGTTCTTGTAAATCACATGGGTTCTCGTTTGAACCTCCACCTATATATATATATATATATATGCTAGGAAAAACAAAAAACCATGATCTTATGCTTTGAACTTGGAATGAGCAAGAATTATCCCATAAAAGTGCTAATAAGACAATATCATCAATTACTTATCGAGTCTTAACTCTCTCAACCTCGTCCTAAAAATTATTGTTTTATAAAAAAAAATTGTGTCGTTCTTCATTTTTGGAAGAATAGTGACAAATACAAGATGGGGGATCATGGGTTCCCATAATATCCTAAATGGGGTTTAATAGTGACAAAGACGACTACTGTCGCTGTAGAGTTTGTCGTTGTTGGTCCGTAGTTGTAGCTTTCTATAGCGACGACAAATCGATGCTATAACTAAAAATTAAAAATTCTAATCTTTATCTACTGCAACGACATGTCGTTGCTATGGGTGAAATTTTAAATTTTCTATTTTTTATCAACTGCGACGACATGATAAAAATTAATTATTTTAGTTATTTTAATTTTAGTAAATCAACAATCTCATAAAAGAAAGGAATGTATGTGAAAAAATTTATTAATACAAAAATTGTGTGAACTACTAATAATTTAAGACATGGTTGCAACCCTTTTTAAAAACTAAAAAAAAGGCCTACGAACACGAACGGGAAGGATGGGCTTTGTTGATTTACTGCGTGACGATTTTATGATCAGCCTCATGAAAACCTTATATTCCCTGAGGAGGTTCTACCCCGTGGAAAAATTCTATATAAATTTCTATATGATATGAAACTGARATAGTTACCTTTGAGAAAATTATAACTGAGGAAGAGTTACGGGCGCGTAAAACAAAAAAATACGCTGATGGGGGACGGGCATAGGAATATTTGTTGATGGAAAACAATAAATCAATCAAGGGTTGGAATACATTTCACTGATCACAAAAAACAAATATTTGTTCATTTTGTGGAACAAAGCCACTTTTTGCAGCATGAGTTGTACTCAAACAATAAATCACGAACACAATAAAATTTTCAAAATCCGAACTTTTTTGTAAAACATTAATATAGCACAACATGAACAAAAAATACAAGTTTGTGAAGTCGGGAACAATGAATTTGCCAAAAATGGAATCAATGAATTTTCTCATTTCGTTATATGCCTTACCCACTAAACCGTATTATAATCATTTTTCTCCCATATCTGCAAAAAACCGAATATAAACCATCTGAGATTCAAACTATGTGTAATTTAGCTACATTCAAAACACCATATCGGGTGATAAAAATATACCCTGAAAAATTTGACTCCTAATCCAGATGCCATAAACATAGGAACCTATAAAATCACATGAATATGAGTGCTTGTTATTTGGAAATTAACTTTATTTTTTTACTTTTCATACGTTGTAGGTGTTGGGCTACCCCAAGGGTTATAAAGTTCAATCAGACCATTTAAAAGTGTAAAATAAAGTAGGAGAAACACCTGAAACTTCATCTACATCGGTGTCCTAGTCCATGACTTCTTTTCTGCAATCATTGGAATCAACTCCACTTCTCCACTCAAAGTTGACTCAGTTTGTCCAATAAATTTTTGTATCCTAAAGTTATTATTACGACACATGTTCAGGAACCATCACCTAAGAAAGATATGCAAAAACACAGAATTTGGACCATGCACACAATCAGATAACAAATAAAGCTGCTCGTATACTCAAGCCACAAAATCAAACAGATTCACATCAGTCTTGATGTATTTTTAGAAAATCAACAATGTCACTCCTTTTTTTATGAATTTTCGCTTTGAACCCAGGAAGGGCAGGGGATGGACCGTTGTGAAGTTGGGAGCTTTCATGGGTAGAAGCAATATACCAGGCTTGCTTGAAGTCGGGGTGGCTATATTGTTTGGAAGGGGTAGTTTAGGGACCGACTTACTCTTTGTGTTATTCAGGTTAGCCTCCTAAATTTTGGCCAGAGCGTGCGCCTGAGATATTTTAGTAGGATTAAACATCCTAACAAGGCTCCTCAAATCTTCACTCAACCCAGTGATGAAACAACTCAGAGTGTTTTCGAGGGATAATTGTAACCTACTAATTATGATGTCAAATTCATCATGATAATCTTTGATAGTTCCCTTTTGCTTCAGTTCCATGAGCTCTGCAATAGGATCATCAAACAGCTCCTCGAAACGTCTTGTGATATCAGTTACATATTGCTCCCATGAAGGATGTACATGATTTCGCCGTTTCATGTATCCCTGATGCCATTGCAAATCTTGCCTTCTATATGTATGGAAGTCAAAGGAACCTTAGTGTTGTCCTTAACCATATCCAATTGGAAAAATTGGTCGACCTTGTATAACCAAGCTTTTAAATCATCCCCACTGAAATGAGCAAAATCGATTTTAGTCAATCGGGAGGAATGCTGATGAGGATTCCCAATTACTTCCCCCAATTTTGGGCCTTGGGTTATACTAGAGTTCAAATTCGACTGGTTCGCTTGGTTTTTAGAGCCATCATTCCTTGTATCCTAGGAATTTCCCTTCTAAATTTTATTTGTCATGAGTTGGTTCATTTGAAATGATAACCCAGGTAAGAGATCGCTAATTTCAACAACTCTCATGCTTTGTTGTTGGTGATTACATTCAATTCGAGTACCAAAGTCAGAGATAACAGTTTTAAGCCTTACCTCCATATCAGAATTACTTCCCTGATCCGGTAGACGAGTATGGGTGTTAATGGATGATGCTTTAGTGGAGCTGATTGGTTCCTGCCTTTGATTCGATGTTTCCTGATTTTGTGTCTCTGCCATTGATTGTGTAATAGC